TTGACCTGAGTACAATGCAAATAAGCAGCACAGCTATCATGGGAACACAAGTTATCTGATTTAAGTCACAGACTGTCTTCTTTAGAATGGGTTAAATCATGGCATAGCTCAAAATCATTAGAACATTGGAAAGTTGCCATTTAAACTCGGCCTTGGCCTTAGAGCCTTTTTTTATTTTAAGATAACATAAGTTCTCTGGTTTCTGTTGTTTTACTTGGTTAGTTTCTGATTGGTCACATTACATAAATTAATTATCACTTGTCTAATTAGAAGTATAAACAATTCCGATAAATGAAAGCAGAGGCAAGTAAGCAATTATAATGCAATCAATAATCATTTAAATCTTTTCAGTATTTAGCTAATTTTGAACAATGTATATAATTATTATGCACAGAAGTTTTTGAAAAACCAAAGACATTAAACTAAAGCAAAATAAATTTTACAAATAAAGGGTAGAAGTGACAGTCTAGTATAATTATTTTATATAGAACTAAATTTCACCAATTTAAAAAAAACCTATTATGAATGCTTTGTGAGTTTTTTTTTTTTAATTTATTTTGAGCTTCAAAAGTATTTCCTTATCTCTTGTGTTGTCACATCAGACATTCTGGCACCAAACCAGACAAGCCATCTATAGCACTTATTGAATTTGACAATTTATGTTCTGAGCAAACATTTTTTTGGTCAAATATTGGATGAATATGAAAGAAAATGCAAGAATATAGGCATGTATTTATTTATAAATGGCATAGCATATGTAAATATATACACATATTTACACACATATATTGATACGTGACAGCATATATATTTATGCTGTCATATAGAATATATGTATATACACATATATATCTTGACATATAGTCAAGATAAAGACATATACCTTCCTCCTTAGGAAAAAAATCTGACTTGAAGCTATACAGGCAATTTAGACTAGCAGAAGTTGACCAGTGTTTCTTAAAGAAATATAATGTACTCTGCTTTTTTCATTCCCTTTTTGGTTTTCAAGAGAACGTATGTTGCTGGGAGAGCTCATTTTTTTCCCTCGATGGCTATTCCTCCTGCTACCTAAATTATTTGGAATAAGGAGACTAAGTTAAGATTTTGGGGGCAAGTGATATAATAGAGGAAGTGCTAATAGAACTGATCATCTTTGATAAGATTTGGAGAAGACTTACATGATTTTAATAAAATCTGATAAGCTGATATATCCTGGAATTTATAATTTTCTACACCACTGAAACAATACATCAGAGTTTTTTGAAGTTTGAATAGTTTGATAAATGGGTTATATGTACTAATTCAAAATAATCTTAAATTATATAAAAAATGACATGTATTTCTACTCCTTGTGGCATATTGTGGATAGAATATCTATATTATGAAATTGTCACCTAATTATGTTACTAAATTTGTTTTATATTCATTGAAGATAATTTTCCAAGATCTTCATGTGACTTCAGAAAAATACCATCTTACGTAATTTTTCAATCAGCAATTTGTATATAAGCTAAATCCTAAATCTTATCTGTTTTATATATCTTAATTACTTTTATCATTAGAACATTGATATTATAGCAACTATGGACACTTTAGAAAATACAATAAAGCAATGTACTAATTTATTCTCCCACCAATATTGAATAAGAAGTATGACATCTTTCTATGTTAGGCAAATTTTTTTATTTATGATGTGTCATTGTTTTATTTGGATATCTTTATTACTATTAATTTGAATATTCAAAAACCCATTGACTATTTTATTCTATTTAAGACTCTTAACTCTTTGTCAAGCATATATGTTGTAATCACTCTCCCTTTATTTTTAAATTGTGTGTGTGTATGCTTGTGTGCATGTTTGAGAATGTGCAAAATATTTTATTTTCATGTAATCAAATTTATCAGCCTTTTCTTTTGTGGCTTTCATGCTTAAAAAAGTCGTCCTAGACCATATATATATTCATGCAAATGTCGGTGCCTTCATGATTTCTTTGCTACATCTTTCATTAGTCTAATCCATTTTCATGAAAAATATAAGGATATCTAACTTTATTTTTCTCAAATGTATGCCTAGTTATTCCAATACCAGTTATAAAATTATCTATTCTTTCTCTGATAATGTGAAATATAAATCTTGTTAGGGCTAAGTTCTTACATATACTTAGATCTGTTTCTAGAATTTATATTTTTGTGCACCGAATATTCTGTTTCAGCAACTCATTCTTTTCATTGCTCTCTTCTTGAATGCTTTAATATCTGGTAAGAAAACATTCCTTTATTACTTTCCTTTTTAGGTTTTTTAAACGAATATTTTTATTCATTGTATTTCTTTTTCTGCTTTAGTTTCAGAATCATTTGTCATATCATCCTGCAGGAAAAAAATGAGACTAGAACTTCTGTTGTCATATTAAATCAGGTTAATTTGGAGAAGAATTAAATGATTTATAATTTGAACTTTTTTAACTTGCCTTTTATTCAAGTCATTTTTATTATGCGCAATATAATTTTGAGGCTTTCTATATAGAAACTATATATTTTCATCAATTCCAATGATTTGTATCAAAGCTCTTAATTGCAAGCAAAAAATTTGACTCTTGCTAAGTAAGCAGGAAAAAAAATTATTAGGTTATGTTGGGTAATTCAGTGAATCAGTAAGTGGGTTCTAGAACCAGGCTCACAGTTAAACTTTCAGGGAAGATGATAAGTACCATCGCAGCAAGGTCTGAGGAGGAAACTGTCCCCACCACCACCACTGCAGAGCACGAGCAGTTCAGGTTGCAGCAACGACCTCTGCACCAGGAACTCAACTCCGTAGCGGCCTCCATTACTTCTAGGCATGTTGCTACTGCTTTCTTTTTCCTCATTTGCATTGGCTAGAACCTTCAAAATAGTGTGACTACTAATGCTAATGATGAGCATCTTTTTCATATTCTTACCTTTAATGGAAAAATATATTTTTCATTTTTGCCCACTCTTACATATCGCTCCAGAAAGTAATAGAGAAGTCATCTTCAATTCATAGCATATTGAGAGATTTGTTTTGTTTTAATTTTACTTGTATTTTTTTCTCATCACAAATAAATTTTGAAATTTATCAGATGCTTCGTGGTCAAAATGGTCATATACTTTTTATTATTATTATTATTATTATTATTATTATTATTTTAGCCTACTAATGTGATATAATAATAGGTATTCTAGTATGTATCGTTTCCTATATTCATGAAATACCTCATTCATTCATGGTGAGACAATTTCAATATAGTATAGGCTATGAGCACATGTCCTGGAATCTGCCTGCCCGGGCTCCAATCCAGGCTCTGTCATTGTTTTTTTGTTGTGACCACAGACAAGAAATTTAGCTTCCATAATACTCAGTTGTTTCTTCTACAAAATTGGAAAGATAATGCTACTTGTGTAAGAGTTCTGTGAGAATCATGTAAGATAATTCATGAAAACGACAGTATATGGCACATAGTGTGTATAGTAAATGTCAATTCGTATCTTCATTTTCACTTAATATAATACCGATTTTGCTAATATTGTATGCATGACTCTTGCGAAATATTTCCAATTGAGATTGACTTGTAGTTCTCTTTTCGGATGCTATTTTTGTCAATTATCTTTGATACATTTTTGGTGTCAGGGTTATGTTAGTTTTGTCAGGTCAATTGGAAAGCTTTCTGTTTTCCTCCATACTTCGGAAGACTAAAAACATTTCAATTTATGTTTAATTAAGGAATGAAAATTTTTTTGTAAATCATCAGGGACTTCAAGTTTCCTAAGGATATGGTTCTTTGACAACTTCTATTTCTTTCATGGCTTTCATTTTTTCAAATAGGCCATTTAATTTTAACCATTTTTACTTTTCTAAAATATCATTTTTATATAAATTAAAATTTATTATAGTAGAGTTATACATAATATTTTTAGTGTCCTTAAAATCTGTTATTACTTTCTTTCCTATTATGTTATAAAATTAATACTGTCTATTCTTCCCCTTTGTTCAAAAGTAGTAGTAATTTCATTATCATGATTAGAATGGACAAGTTATAGAAATATATCAGTAAAAGGTATCTCAGTAGTTTTCTCTCTAATTTATCAGCTTCCATTTTTATGGGTTTCTATTTCTTTGTTTCTTTTATTTATTTTTTATTTTTCCTATTTCAATGATTTGTTTATTAATTTCCCTTCTTTTTTATTTTCAGTCAGGGCATTTTTATGCTAAAGTACTATGTATTTTCCTCTCAGTACAGTTTGATCCCATTCTACGTTTTTAATAAATTTATTGTTTTAATGTTCTTTTTGGACATTTATACTTTTACTTTCCTCTTGAAGATTTATTCATAAAGAATAGTTTTTAGGGGGAGCGGGGAAAAAAAAGAATGATTTTAATTTTTAAGTATTTATATTTTTGATATCTTTCAAAAATCAATTTCTAGTTTCATTATACAAAAATCAATTTTTATTATGCAAAAATCAATTTCTAGTTTTATTTCCCTTTCCCTCTAATTGTTTAATCATTTCAGCAAGGAACCTAAAAACTCTGGGAGTCAAACGTAGTAGACTGAGAGGATACCATATTGAACATGAAAGTTTTATCTTTCTTACTTTAAAATACGCTTAATACTTGCATAAGATAGCAGATAAACTATTATTGTCTCTTTTCTGCTTATTCATGATAGTGTCAATTTAAGTATCTTAATGCTCAATCTCAACTATGATTTCTCAGTTAATTCAATATACCTACTTTCATAAACTGTTAAGAATTTTAGAATTGTTTTTTTTTTTTACTTTTATGTGTGGATCTTATTTTTCTGCTCTCTAATATGAAAGCATTATTCATGTTCTTATTCACTTACGTAATATAATTATTTAAAATATTGATTAGCTTTTGTTTGCTATAATTTGGATTACTTTCAATATTCAAATTTCTTACATGCCTAAATTCTACCTTTAAGAATATTGCTGTTTTGTTTGTTTTATTGTGATTTTTGCAGAACATGGTTGGAGAGTGGGCTTTACCAGAAGAAATGGTTGATAACGTACCACCCTCCAACAATTGCATATTGGGCCATGTGATTCACAGACTAATTGAAAAATCTCTTCCCCCTAAAACTGAATCAACAGTACCTGAATCACTTTCATTTGCTATTAAAGGATGCTTATTGGGGAAAACATTTAGTGGAAAAACTACTGCTCTAAAGTTTCTACAAAAAGGTAGAATTCTTTTTTATTTGTACTTACCTGATTCTATTTATATTGACTGTAGTGTAAATGGCCGTATCTGTAGAAAATATACATGAGGATCTGGTGATATATTAGGAAACTGTCATCAAAAGTATTGTAATAGAATGATCCCATGATTTATTGTCCATGGCAGGCACTTAGGAGTATAGAGTCATAAACTGTGACTGTCCCAGGCAAACTTGGATTTATTGGAATGTTATCTAATGATGATGGATAGTATGAATAGAATAATCAGTTTTAAACTTTCCTCATAGATTTTACTTACTTTACCAATAGATGAAGCAGGAATTTAATAATGTGTTACAAAGAAGAGAAATCCATTTAAATTGTAAATATTTTAATTCTTCACATTTGTTGAATTCTCAGCCTCTCTTTAATGAGCCTTTGGCTTTTACAGTTAAAAGCAAAATCACAGATTTCCATCTGTTCAGTTAGTTTTTGTTCAATAATACAATACCATTTCTCTTTTCACTGGAAAACTCAAAATTTGCTCTGAGGCCCATCCATCTTGTAATATTCTAAGACAGGGGAAGGGTAGGTCATTATTGTCATGTGAAAAAGATCTCCTTGGTAAGCAACTTGACAAAATCACAATGAGAGCCACATCACATCCACTAGAATGGGTATAATAAAAAAATGGAAAATAACAAGTGTTGGTAAAGATGTAGAGAAATTGGAATATATTGCTGATGGGAATGTAAAATGGTATAGCTATTATAGAAAGCAGTGGTGAATCTTCAATAAGTTAAGGAATTACCATATGAGCCCAGCAATTCCACTACTGTATATATACCCAAGCACCTTGAAAACAAGTATTCAAGGGAAAAAAAAAACAACAAAAAAAAACCTTGTATAGGAATATTCATTGCAGCACTATTAATAATAGCCAATAGGTAGAACTAATTCAAATGTTCATCACCTGATGAATGGATAACAAAATATGGTATATCCATACAATGGAATATTATTCATCCATAAAAAGGGGTGAAATACTGATACATGCCATAACATGGATGAACTTTGAAAACATGGTACAAAATGAAAGAAATCAGATACAAAAGGCCACATATTATATGATTCCATTGATTGGAAATATCAAGAATAGGCAAATCCCTAGAGATAGAAAGCAAATTAGTTGTTGCCGGTGGCGGGAAGGAGTGAGGGATAGGATGATAGGAACTGACTGTCAATGGGTGCAGGGCTTCCTTCTGAGATGATGAAAATTTTCTGGAAAAACATAGTGGTGATGGTTGGACAATATTGAGGATAACCTAAATACCACCGAAATGTGTCTTTTAGAATGGTTAAAATGGTTAGTTTTATGTTATATGTATTTTAATACAATAATACAAAAGAAAGCAGCTTAATCCCTAAAAGCAGTGTTAGGGAGCCCTAAAAACAGTGTTAGAAGGTGAAGCCAGCACGGAAGGACAATAGTGGCAATTTCCTAAATAAAAAGCTATTGGTAATACTGCTGTTTGTACTTTAGACTTTCCTATTCAGATACTTTCTATCGATACTCTTGTCCAAGAAGCTATTCAAGCATTTCATAACAATGAAAAAGCCAGCGAGGCCCTACCAATTCAGAATGAAGCTGAAGAAAGGACTTTCCCAGTTCTGCAGGAGTATAATAAAGAAAGCCAGGCAAGTGTGATTTTAGTTTTCTTTCTTGTGCCTATTATATCAGAGATTTGAAACTGGATGGAATCTAAGAGATCTTCTAAACCAGAAGTTGGCAAACTCTCCTAAAAAGATCCCAAGAATAATTATTTTAGGTTTTGTGGGCCAAGTGGGAAAAATCAAGTATATTGTGGGGGCATTTATATAACAAGAGAAAAAAAATCCCCCCCCCCCCCCCCGCCGACTGGTTTCCCCAGGTGAGCTGTCCAGGGTGATAGGCCAGCTTTGTGCCTAGTTACCTTCAGCTGGAGACATTCTCCTGAAGAAAGAGCCATTTGCTGGTGAAGGGGTGGAGGGGCTGAATTGCAAAGGGTTGGAGGGGAGTAGGGCATGAGTGCTGTGGAGGAGTTCACCAAGTCACTGGTTCCCAGAGTGAAATTCTATTACTGAGAGCCTGGCAGTGGCCAACAGCAGAGTCCCCATCACGTAGTTGGAGCCCAAGGCCAGCCGTGGGCAGTGGCCAAAGCAAGCACTGAAGGCGAGCATGGACAGGAGGTGGAGGAGGATGCCCATCTTAGTCCCCAGGCTCACAGTGCTGTCCCATGGAATTTTACATGCCCAGGGACCATATAAAAAATAATTTGGCCCCACCAAATTTGGTCCAAGGGCAATAGTTTTCAGACCTCTGTTCTAAACTTGTAGATCTCGACTTGGGGCTGTGGTGGGTGGGAAGGAAGTCTCCATATTATTTACCATCATCATATTCCCATGATTTACCTGCTTCACATTCCCATCGGTATTGCATCTGGCTATATTATTGCATGAAGATTCTAGGGCAGGAAACAGGAGGATGGTACTCCACTTAAGAAACACGATGTGGTGATTTTAACTGGGAGAGAGTAGAGGCCCTAAGCATGAATTGGTTTGCTTGGAGTCAGAAGGCTCGTTAATGTCTAGGCCGTGATTGGGATCCCACATTCTAAATCTAGTACTCTTGTACTGTCTCTGCAATTGAATAAATTAGCAGAGAATCTAATCCAGATCATTTGCATGAGCTGCCAAGAAGGTATTATTTAACCATGAATTCTGAAAATAACTGAGTTTTTTTCATTGTGGACTGCCTCAACTTCGATGTTGTGGTACTCTTCATATTCTAATCAGTAGGGTCAGATAACGCACACGTCTTTTCTTTATTTCCCTTATGGCTATGGACGATACTCTGGGATTGTTCTTTCTAAGATGGTTTTCTGTAAACTCTACCTCTTTCTCAGATTCCACTGTATTTTCAAAATGGCTGTTGGTGTACTTGACATAGTAATTAAAGGCCAATTGAAAAACAGATTACACTACAGGTTACTATGTGTTTCCACAAGTATAATTATCATCAAATTTTGTTTGTTTCTGGAACCTGTTCTGTCTCTCTAAATATTATTAATGTTTTAGATAAAATAGTACATTTTTTTCCTCAAATCCTGCTTATAAAAATAAAATTAAGAATGCTATTAAAATATGACAAATTAAAAACTGTCCTTGTGTGTGTTTTCTCCCCAAAGGATCTGCCAAGTAAATTTTCAACTGACTCAGTTTTAAATGAAGCATTACCAGAATCAGAAGATAAAGCTATATTTAGTAAGTAAGATATCAAAACAACTCATCCATCATCCACCTTAGAGGTACAGACAGACAAACAGTTAAGAACACATACATGCAAGCACAAACATGCTTTCAGAGAAAGAAAGGAGAGACAGGGAGTTTTGCATAGTTGTCTACATGGACATTTGACAGGCAGGACAAGGTAAACACAGAAGTCCCTAACCTTTGTCTACAACTGGAGATAAAAGACAAAATGGCAAAAGTAGTCGATTAGTTTTGTTGTGGTTATGAAAACCACCAGGATAAATCATCTTTCCTCTTCCTTGCTTTGCAGGGAAACAATATTTTATTGTTTCTTCTCACCTATGCAGGTCTGCATGAGTTAGTACTATTGGAGCTCTCTCTGCATGTTACATACAGCTTTATTCACAGTGTCAAGGGAGGCTGCAGGTTCTGGTCTCTGCAATTCACCTGAACCGTGCTTCCTTAGATAAAACTCAGTTTATTCTCAACTTTGGGCAAGGAAAATAAAATTAAATTTCCCAAACTTAATGAAGAATTATCTCCTTGGAGATTTGGGCTTCAGTCCCTCAGATACTTTGTAGAACCATTTATGGAAAACGATTTTAAGTCTCAAATATATTTTCTATTTGTGCTAGTGAAGGCTCTGCCATGTTCGATAGTTTTCTCGTATTCTAGAATAAAGTTTAAATCCTTCTGTGCCCCTATCATTTATACCATCATTGCTGGACAATGTATAGATTTATTATGAGCATGCAATGCCTAGAGTGGTTGGATTTTTCATCTTTTAAAAGGACACAATCTGTCCCTTGTGTTCGTCATTTGTTTCTTATCAAATATTTTTAATTGATTTTTAAACTAAGTCCTGTATAACCTGTTTTATTACAAAAGTACAGTTAATTATAAATGGACTTTGAAAACTTTTTATTTTTCCATAGAATTTAACCAAAAAACCTCTCTGACTTCTAGTTCTCCACTTTTAGACTTGTTCGTTACTTATAACTAGATAATCCAGGAAAATAAAAATATCGAGAATTAACCTTTTAACATCTCTTGAGAACTTGGTTGCTTTTCTGAAAAGAAAACCCAAACTGTATTAAAGTATTTCTAATGGTAATATTATGAGTGAGTCATATGGGGAGGAAGCGGAAAACACCAAGCCACACGGTGACCAGGATCTTTACGTTGTGGAATGAGGGTAAAAGCCGTGCTGTGGTGATTCTATTACTTCCTTCCACTGAGTAGCTCAGACATAGCTGGATCCGATAACCCAGCTGTCCAAAACCATAGACGGTCAAATGCTAAATGGTCGTTAGATGTAAATATTGCATTTGTTCTCACCACTTTTCCTGTTGCTAGGTACTGATACCAATGAAATACCAAAAGCTGAAAATGTCGAATTGAATGATGATTTCTCTAAAGTAAGTACTCTAATCTAATTTTGGCTACTACTATACTGAAATGTATCATGATTCCTAGCTTTCTGGTGTGTCTTCAAGTGGAATGAAATAATAATGAGCTCCTCTTTGGTTTAAAGTAAATCTGATAGTAAAATATTAGCTAAATCTGATTTAACTTAATATTCTTTATATTCTTAACATCTAAAGCAATGGGAATTGCTATTTAGTTTTGCCAAGTAAAAAAGTAAACACATTGTTTTTTTAGTTTTATTTCAGATTTATGCCAAATATATATTTGTGTGTTTTTCTTTACCACTTAATTTATGCCTTTTATTTTCTTTCACACTCTCTT